ATTCGGAAGTAGTTTGTCACTCTTTCTTCCTAGTCTGTCTTGTTTGGAAGCTCATCTGAAACCTGTCTACCATGGGTGACCCTGTTGGTTATTTACAATACCGGTGGCAGAGCCCTCAGAATCACAGCAACTCAAACCACCACAGCACGACAGACAGACAAGTGGTGGCCGTTTGGTTTTATGTTGATACTGTCTCTTTAAATTTCCATGTCAATCTTGATACAATCCTGATATCATCAAGATACAATCAAGATGTTCTCTCCTAATCCTATCAATCCTGATACAATCTAGATATGCTTTCCCAAGATGGTAGCTCCTGGAACAGCTGAGTGTCTATACTGTCACTTTAAATTTCGATGCAGTGATTGTAGGGACAGGCAAGTCCAGAATCTGTGGGACATGCTATTAGGCTGAAATTCAGTAGGAGTTATCAGTGTAGCCTGGAGGCAGAATTCTTCTCTGGGTAACCTCAGTATTTGCTCTTAAGGCCAACCAGCTGATTGGATATTGTAGATGTTAACCACATGTATAAAATATCTTCCCATCAACACTGAGATTAGTGTTTGACTAAATAACTGGTCTAGCCAAGTAGAGCCATAAAACTCACCATCACATTTGTTATCTCATTTGGGCCTCACAATATCTCTGTGATAAGGAGTAAGTTTTACATGGGAAGGAGTAAAGCAGATGCCTAAATGAATCATCTTGAGGATGCTGAGCAGTCCCAGCTGTCCAGATAATTTTTCTACTTAGATTTCCCAATGGCTGAGTCATTTCACTCAGAAAAATTCATTCTTCTGAGCCACTAAGCAGTGTGGTTTCTAACTGAAAAAGTAGTGAGGTTTGAATGGTGACCTGCCCACTCTCACTGTGTGACCTTAGGCAAGTCACCTGGTCTCAGTGTCCCTCTCTGAACCAGGAGTGCCTCCCTTCTAGAGGTGCAAGTAGGAAATGCAGCCACACATGTACAGTGCTGTGCATTTTCTTTCTTTTCCTCGTGGTCCATTGATTAGAAACTAAGTTTGTGTACACTTTGCTGCGTATACTATTAACAATAACAAAATAAATAATATCCCTTCACAATTGTTACCAGTTTCCCTCAAGTCAAATCTCACTCCTGGTGACCTCATGTATGTCAAAGTAGAACATAGTGTGTCCAATGATGGTTTTTTGGAAGTAGATTGCCCGGCCCTTCTTCCAAGGTGTTTTTGGATGGACTCAAATCTCCAAGGTTTTCATTAGCAGCCAAGCACATTAACCATTTGCACCATCCAGGGACTCCTTAGTTTTTACTAACTCCAAGGTCCAGTTTCCTTCCAACAAGAAGGACCTAGAACAAAAACAACCTCCATCTACTGAAAAAAGTAAAGTGGGGATTAGAGAAAGGTAGAGAGAGATGCCAGAAGCGGATTTAGATGTCCCAAGACCATCTGTTTGAGTCCTTCCATGTAGAGAACTATAGTGCTTTTATTCCAATATGTGGAGACAGAGATCTGAGGAAATTAAAACCCTTGTTCTAATTTCACCTGGCAGCTATACCTGGCATTTTGGTTCACGTAGTCAGTGTGTTTTCTCTATACGTGGGGGTCTGTTTACTTTGGTTTATATTTGATCCCTCAGTGCTAAGGATGGTATTGGTGGTGTTGACACTGTGGATGTTTTTTTATCTTAGACTCAGATCTCAAAGATCTGCTTCTTCTTGTCTATGTGCTGGAGACCTGATGTGGCACTGTAAGATACGTGCAGGACCACAAGGTTGGTTTGAGCCACAAGATAAGCAGTTCAAACTCACCAGTTAGTCCTTGGAAACCCTATAATGGGTTGCTATAGGTCGGAACCGACTCAACACTAGTTAACAACAACAACATGCTGGAAAGCATGGGGTGGTTCACCAGAACTCAAGACTTCTGTTTCTCTTGACCATTTCAGAGCTATTGTTAAGCCTGTCCTTGCTCCTTAAATGTCATTTCCTTTCTAGAATGAATGAAGAACAGATAGCTACCGTCTGTTTGTCGGTTCTGAGAGCCCTCTCCTACCTTCATAACCAAGGAGTGATCCACAGGGACATCAAGAGTGACTCCATTCTCCTGACCAGTGATGGCCGGGTAAGACTATCATGTTGGCCCCTCCATGGTTTACCTTGTTACTTTGTTCTTAGGAGAACATAAAATGTTCACCTAAAAACATTTTCTCATAATTCAATTTTTTCTTAGTCAGAAGTCAGCCACTGCCCTTCCAGAAGTCTGACTAAAAGGAAATGATCATTCTCTGTGTCATCCTGTTAGTCAGAATTACCTGTGACTTGAATTTAATAAATCATTTTCTGCCTTAACAATGAGTGTAGGAAGTAATGGAAACTTCTTTTCTGCCACATTCCTATTTTTGTTGGAAGAGAGGAACCGACTGTTCTAGAAATGTGTCCATGTCATTATGGTAACTATGCATGTCTACAGTAGCTCTCAGTTTCTGCAGGAAAGAGATGGCACATTTCATTTGTTACTTTGAGGATAGCTTGATAGATGGACAGTTTATTAAAGTGCAAGCAGATGTAGGGAAATCATAAGGAATGATGCATAGAATTGGTGTAATACTTCAGAAATGAGTACCTCTCTTATCACCCATACCTGAGGCTGTAAGGTGGGGAATTGGTTACTAGAATCTGGAAACAGAGATTACAGTAAGTGCTGTCCCAGTGCTTTGATCTTTAGTAAAAGATAGACCACAATGAACCTGCAGGACAGGAGCACTCTCATTTTGTTCCTTCACTCAAGGCTTCTACTGGTGTTCCCCATTAACTGAACCCTACTGGAATTTATCAATTCAGTCAACATGGGCTGACTCCCTGGATATTGCAAAAGACAAGAGAATGGATCTGGAGGAAAGATAGCCAGAATATATATAGCACACTAGCATATTGTTAGGCCCTTATTTCTGGATTTCCCATCACTGCAACCTGCTCAAAAGATTCAGCTTAAACTCATCAGCCACACTGAGATACAGAACATCCGATATAAGGGCCAAAGAAATAAGGAAGCCTTGGTTAGATGGAGGCATTTTCAGCATAGATTTTACCATTGAGGCTTTTTGAACCTCCTGAGATTCTCATAACAGACAGTGACCCTGGAGTGAATGGAACCAGCCACTCCTTTTACAACTCAACAGCCTCAACTATACAAAAATGTTCATGCCACATCAGAATTCTTCTGGGAACAATCAGGCCAGCTAGAAGTAACTGCCAACTACTTTGGCTTTTCTGTTTTGTTTAATGAAGATTATAAAATTTAATGTCGAAAGTTTTTTTAACTCAAAAAAGTATAAAGGATAAAATAAAAATCTCTCATAATTCCATTTCTTATTTTCCCATATGCCCACAGACATTTTATATGATTTAAAATTCGGGATTCTTTTTAATAAATAACTCTAAGTTGTTTTTGCATTGAACTCCCTGATTTTTAAAAAATCATTTTAGATCCTATATCAGTCAGTTTTTGCAACATAACAAAGCACCCCAAAACTAGCTGGCTTAAGATGCCAACCATTTATTGTTCCCAATTCCATGAGTTGTGATGTGGGCTGACCTCAGCTGCAACAGCTCATGAGGTCTCCCAGTCAGCCTGCAGTTGATCGTCTCACTGTTTGTCTGGTGATTCGCTCAGTCTCAACTGGGGCAATGGAAGGAACGGGGCCAAGAATCACTCATCTCCCAGCAACCTCACTAGTTGTCACAAAGTTCATTCCAATTTATACCAGCCCCATGTGAGTCAAAGGAGAATGGCAACTTTCCAGATGTAGGTCTATAAGCCTTTCTTCTAAGGTGTCTCCAGGTGGACTTGAACTTCCAACCTTTGGTTTAACAGATAAGCAAGGTAACTATGTGCACCACCCACAGATTTTCCAGCAGACTAAGCAGGCTTATTCACTTGGTGGCTTCAGCAAGATTCCCAAGAGCAACAGGAGAGGCAGATTCCAAAGTACAATCAGTTTTCAACCCTCAGCTTACATCATGCTTGCTAATGTCCTATGGCCAGCTCTAGATTCAAGGGGTAGAGACATAGATCTCACTTCTTGATAGAGGACATGGAGACAGAGAAGGGACGAGTGAGTGTCCATCTTTGTCCAATCTATCGTAGAACAGGAGCACTCTATGAAAAGAGCAAGAATCCTCACCTGGCCTGACTCAGTGCAAAGTCAGACTTTCTTTCCCTGTTTCTGGAAATTGATGGTGCAGACTGCCTCGCTTTAAGTACATGATAAATGTAAGAATAAGACAATAATTCATTGTTTCATCAGATGATTTGAAGCGTTCCTCTCCCCACATTATCCAAAAGATGATTAATTATTCACTTGTCATTCTCGAGGGCAGGACATACATCTTAAACACCTCTTGCACCACCACACATCCAACAAAGAGCTTACAGGGGTAGGGACGCTGTGACTGTTTTCTAGTCTGATTGGTTCATCCATTCATTCAATAAATATTTGTATCAGGACTGTTGTTCTACATCCTAAGGATGAGCAAAGCAAAATCACTACTCTCATTTAGCTTACTTGGTAGGGTATGAGATGTGATAGTAAACAAAGAGATAAATAAAATCACCATCAGACATTAGACAAGTAGTAATAAATGCTAAGATTACTATAGTCATTCATTTAGGCAAGTAAGGAAGAAAAGTGATGGGAGGCATTCTGTTCTAGAAGCTGGACAGAGAGAACCCTTCTCTTATGGAGACATTACAACAGAGATGTGTAAGAAAGCGGGTCATGTGGCTATCTAGGACAAGAATGAATGTTGCAGATAGGAGGAAGAGCATGTTGAGTGGATCTGTGCCTCTTGACCATGTTGGCCAGAGTTTGCGTGTTCACATTTCGGACACTTCGGAGCAACACAGCAGATTGACTCCAATGGGCTTCTTCAGTTTCTGCAGATCAAAGAACCTCCCCCCCAAAAAAACAAAACAGTAGAGGTGGAATGTGCTTGCTCCAACAAAAGGCTGAGAGTACATATTTATATGAACCTATTAGCTTATTAGCGTGTGAAGTCCTGGTATGACGCTGTGGGCTAATACGCCAGACTGCAAAGTCATTTGAACTACAGGGTCAGTGGTTCGAGCTCACCTGCTGCTCCTTGGAAACCCTCTACAGGGTCGCTATGGGTCAGAATCGACTCAATGGCACGTAACAACAACAACATTAGCAAGTGGTGTTAAATAATGAATAAGAGATTTTTGCGTACCACAGTGGAATATGAACTATCCTGCTAACCGTAAGGTCAGCAGTTCAAATCTACTAGCCACTCCTCAGGAGAAAGATGAGGCTTTCTGCTACCATAAAGATTTATAGCCTCGGAAACCCTCTACAGAGTTACTGAGTGTTAGACCGACTCAATGGCACACAACCATCACCACCACACTGCCATATAAGGAGTCCTGAAGTGGCACTGTAGGATAAGCACTGGACTACTAACCACATGGTTGGTGGTTTATCCCACCAACTGCTCTTTGGGAACCCTATTGTTGTTGTTAAGTGCGCCTGTGAGTCAGTTCCAACTCATAGTGACCTTGTAAAGCATTTTTCCAAGGAGCAGATGGTGAGTTTGAACCACTGGCCTTGTGATTCAAACCGGCCTAGCCAGTCTAGTGTTTTATCCCACAGTGTCTCACCAGAACTCCTGGGAATCCTATACAGGGTTTCTATGAGTCAGAACCAACTCAATGTCACTTAACAACAACACTGCCATCAAAAGGAGTCCTGGTAGCATGGTGGGTTACAAGCTGGGCTGCTAACTACAAGGTCAGTGTTTCAAATCGACCAGCAACTCTGCTGGAGAAAGATGAGGCTTTCTGCTCCTGTAAAGATTTACAGCCTGGGAAGCCCTATCCAGGATTACTGTGAGTCAGAACTGACTCCACGGCACACAACCACCTCCACTACCATTGCCATATAATAAACCACCACAAAGCTTAATGTCTTAAAACAACATCAGTCATTTTATCATTATCTCATATGGTTTTGGCACGGTTGGTCTCAGCGAGATAATTTTGCTTTGACTTGTGGTGGGATGATGGCTGGGGCTGGAACCATCTAGAAAATGTTCTCAGGTATTAGAAAGTTAGTATTGGCTGTACTAACTTAGCACTAATTTAGTACTCAGCAGGGGCTTTCAGTGGAAAACAGTATAATGACTTCTCCATCTGTCTTGGGCTTCCTCACAACATAATGACTAAATTCTAAGAGTGTCCTAAAAAAGCAAGGTGGATGACCTTTTTATGACCAGTCCTCAAAAGTCACATAGTGACATCCACACTGTAGTAACGAGTCCTTCCAGACTGAAGGGGAAAGGGAAAGAAAAGCCTTTCAGTGGAAAGAGAAGCCGGTATCTATAAACAGAGCACCTGGCATGGGAGCTAGTAGGAAGATGGTCTACCACACAGGTGTGTACTGGCTTCTCTTCTTGTGGGGAGATTTTCAACATCAATTGCAACTAGAGAAATGAAACTTGAAACTACAGTGAGCTAACTCTACTCCCCTACCAAAATAAAACCACTCACTCCCAGACTGCTAGCGGAATGTAAATTGCTCTGGAAAATAGTTTGGCAATTCCTTTCAAAATCAAAAATGGACTTGGGGTACAAACAGAAATTTCACAGATAGGCTTTTATCTCAGAAAAACTAAAACAGATTTTCATGCAGAAACATAACACATATATATGTTCGTAACAGAAAGGGCTAACAGAACAGTTAACAAACTGTGGTACATTCAAACCATAGAATACTACTCAGCAAAAGAAAGCAATGAGCAATTCAAACATTCAAGAATTTGAATTAACCTAAAAGAAATTATTAGAAAAAAAAAAACTAAAAAGGACACATACATCCTGATTCCATTTATATAACCTTCATGAAAAGAACCTAATTATAGAGATGCATACCAAATCAGTGGTTATCAGAGGTTAGAGATGGGGAGATGGGCATGGCTACAAAGGCGTAGCATGAGGGAGCCTTGCGGTAAAGACACAGTGGTTTATCTTGATTGTGCTAGTGGTAACACAAAGCTACACACTTTATAAAAAATTTCACAGGAGTCCTGGTGTGGTGCTGTAGGCTA